CAAATACCCGTCAGCCTCGTAATATTTAAAATAGCAAAAAAAGTGAAGAGCAACAGATTTTTCAAAGAAATGCAGGAAGACATGCATGCTTGCTTTATACGGAACAAGTTGGAACACTGTAAGTTGCCTAGGGGAGATCTTTGAGCGACATTTCAAAAAACGATCTACAAAAAGAGGCAGAACCCGAGAAATTTGTGTCACCTAATCCGGGCAGTGTCGGCTCGAAATTCCCATTCACTGGCAACTGAACAAAAGCGGTTCTGAATGACACTCGATGAATCCTTCTCGCCGTGTATACACTGACCAACTGCTGCATTATAGATTTTCCGGCCCTGAAATAAGAACTTTTGACGAACTGTGCAACTTTGGTAGGCTGACTCACCAGTTTTATGGACAGAATATGATGGTGAAGGAAAAATTCTCGAAAAAGAAAAAAAAACCGAAGGGATTGCCTCTACTGTTGCTGCATATTCTGAAGAAAAACATTCTCGGAGTTGTTGTCAGCTAACAGAGTCTGCTCTAAGATATTATATTAAGACTGAGACATTGATTCTCAATACAAAAGAGATTTAGATCCAGCACCGTCCGGGACACCTTCTGAGGTTCTTTGTTATGTAGACGTGGTAGAGCTGTAATTCATTGGCTGATTCTCAGCTGTGCAGCTGCCGGTTTTTCCAGTTGCTTTGACTAGTGCTACATCATCTGCTGGTCAGCATGCTGACGATCTTGACAATCGTTTCAGTTCCTGAAGAGATAACCAGTGCTTCTCCGGACAGAAACAGCTGGCAGAAATTCTCCCGACAGAAATATATGACAAGGATTTCTAACCCCATTATCATCCTGCTCACCAAAAGCGAAGGTTTAAGGAGATAAACAGAAGTGGGTTTCAGATGCTTAGTACTTACCAGTAGTGACCACTCCTGATGAGCTCCTTGCAAGTGACATTTCAGAAGTCGTGGCCCCTGCAAAATTTATCAATTTTTATTATTTCGTGAGAAAGAAATTTCGCAAGAGGTTCCACTAATAATCTGCATCGTACAAATCGTTGTATGCTTGCTTCCATCTTAATTAATTGTCAGTACTGCATCTTTGCGTCATTTGGTGCCTCAACAGGGCTGCGGTGTTTGTAGATAATCCGAAGGAAGAAAGAGGACCGAACAGAGGTATAACTGCTCCCCGATTTACTTACCTTCAGCGAATCGAGGCAGAGCATCGCAGAGCCCATCGGACGGAGTTCGCCAATTTTCGTCCAGCGCCAAATTTGATGACGGTCTCCTTTACGACAATACTCGATGGAAATGCGGCTTCCTCGTACCAGTCGACCATTGGTTGACTCGGCCGTCAAGCACAGGCTTGTATTGTACAGTGCAATCTGAAAGATCAATTTCTCATGAATATGGTACCTCGTCTAAATGTTGTTCTACCGGCAGAGTCAACTGTTGTTCGAGTTTTACTGCTTGTCAAAGCCAAAACTCTCTTCCTATTCAATCCATATGATAAAGGAGCAGAGGCGCCAAAAACAGTCGCTCGTCGGCAAGGCCTTGGAATGACACCGCCTTTTGAAAACTGTTCGGAAGCAAACTCATGGCGTGTTTGACTCCCAAGATTGTGCCAGTACCAATTTACCATCAAAATGAATGAAGAAGTTTTAAAGAAGCTGGTTCTGCCGGCAGAGTCGGCTCTTCATGTTTCATCCAGTACGAGATTATCGGCTACTTGCCGTTAA